ACCCCAGCCGAGACAATCTCTAAGGTCTCTACATGTGTTGTAGTGTACTGAATGCAAGTGTCAGTGTGTGTGCGTGTGTATGGAAGGAGAGAGAATATGTCAAGTATGATGAAAGAAAGATCGTGTGTGGTCCGCAGCCCGTTTGTTAGGTTATCACTCCGGCATTCGCCTGCTATTGATATGAGAAACCACGGCAAATTATCTATCAGAGCAGCGGCCAGCTAGATTTCTGTTCCAGACAGAGGTCGAATTCGATCTAGCAATCTACCTAGTGTCAAAATTCCTCCGTACTAATTGCCTCGAATCATACGGCCTGTCGGTCAGAATCACTACGGGGACAGCGGCAATTGCTGGCTCTGAGCTAAACTCAGCTGATTTGAATTCTCGTCATTTGATGAGTTATTCTCTTGAATTGATTATTCGAGAAGATAAAACTGATGAGTAAAGTGGGTGAGTCAGTAGCTTCGTTCAAAAATAAGCATTGCATTATATATAAATAACTATTACCTTTTGTGTCACTGACGCTTATTAATGAAAGGAAATATTTTGAGGGATCCCTATCAATATAAAAATGAAATATGGAGATGTTTTTGTAAATGAAAATAATAATATATCTCAGGAAGAAAAATTATGTTTCGCAGGAACGATGAAATTCACTTTCGAAATGTTTAAGTATAGCATTTAATTATGACCCTGCAACACTAAATTTGATACTGTGTCTTGGAAATAAAACGTTATAATTACCGTACTTAAGAATAGATAACAAACAAGGCAATAAAATATCACATTTCTATTTGCCTTCGTTTTGCGAAACTCCGTCGTATCCCGATATGTCTTCCGTTAATCGTACGACACAATTCCAAGTACAAATTAGAAACAGGAAATATTATGCACATATTTATCACCTCCGTTTCTAATTAATTATGTCATTATGATTCCAAAAAATTATTAATAAGGAGAATAGAAATATTAGCATTTTATCACAAACATTAAATGCGGTGCATGGTTAATCACTGAAAGTTTCCGATATTAAACATGCACGACATTTACAGGACTAATGACCATAGAAGTTACTGCGTCCAGAAACGCGAAATGATTAATCAATTGAACGTTCTTTTAGATGACATTGAAAGAATGAGGGATTCCTTATTTTGTCTCAAAAACATTACGAATCTGTCGACTGTTTAGCGATTCAATTAACTTTCTGTTATGCGGAAACGGAAAGTTTTCAAATGTTTCTAACCATGCTAGTTCGTACCGTTATTAATAGTTCAGCTGTGTGTAGTAAAAGAGATTTGTAAGTGGTCTGGAAATTGTTCGCAGATTATAGTTCTCACCTATATGCCCAATTAAGGTTTGACCAAATTAATGGCATCATGATGAAATTGTATACTTTGGCTTCAAGTTGAGGTAGCTATATCACAGAAAAAGTGATTCAGGAATATTTTGTTATTTTACAAAAACATTTTAATTTGAAGGTAATATGCCCGCATGCAGGTTTTATGGTCTAATCTTACAAAAATACAACCTCATAAAACAATTTTTAAAACAATAGCGCGAGAGTTTTTAAGAAGTTACTAGGACTTTCTTGACAATAAAAACTCCAGAGTGCGAATGCGAGAGTGCGAATCAACAAGGGTGTTAACGTCCTTCTTACACTCTCTCAGACTGCATGCTAGCACAATCAATCGGAAATAGTTTCAGTTAACATCATAACCGCTACTTGGCCATATTACCTGCTCTGGTCATTTTTGCATCACTTACCTTATTACAATTTTCACAAACTTTGATTAATTGTTTCTGATATTCGCTGGAATACAATAGAGTATACAAAGCTTTATTCAAATTTATAGATTATCTTCGATAATTGAATAAAATTGTGTATAGTATGAAGAACAAATTCCAGCCAATAACATGAAGGAATTTCCGAATGTACTCTTGAAATGTGCCCAGTTAAGACTGAAACCCTCTGTAGAAACATAAATGTGAAACATAATTTGCAAATAAAAAAAGCGTAATATATAAGTGGGCCCCGTCTTGTTGTAGACTGCTCACGACTGAAGTGCGTCTTAATGCACCGCAGTGTATTCTGCGTGCGAGCTCTCGAGCGTCGGCTCAACGGCCAGTGGCAGCCGCGACGGCGCAGAGACGCGTAAGGCAGTGCACCTGTCTACCTTATCTTGGGCTGATAAACACGCGTCGTGAGAACCGCCCGCCCAAGATAAGTCCCAGGACACAGTCTCGTGTCCCTCGGGCTGTGCGCCGGCTCTGATGGTTAAGAGGCAGGATTGCATTTGCCGAATGGTGTCGGATTTTCGCCACTAGCTACGGAACTAGGAAGAATTCAACCACTGCCTGGAGGAGAATCAAAGCGGTCGGGTGCTCCGATCAATAGTTTTTCGTGTTTTCCCGATCAATACCAGGCAAATGTCAGTGCAGTACACAAATAAACGGGCCACGGACCGCGCGCAATACATCCTTGCTCATCTGTCTCCTCGTCCCTTACACGTTCACACTAAGACATATATGCACTACATTGTCGGGAGGCCAGTCGAGAGCTTAGAGCTTGCTCCGGGGCGTAGGCCCACTGGGCACCTAGATGAGGAACCTCCGCTAGTTGCCGTGCGGGTTGGCACCGGATCTCACATTCTGGTAAGGGAGGTGCTCCGTCACATCCAGGGATATAAATATGCGTTACATGCGGGATCACTGATCACAGCAGTTGATACCGTCGGAAACACGAAATAATCAATAGGATTGTGCTGCGCGCGTCATACTAAACCGCACTGGACGCAAAGAATGTCGTAATACCGGGGCAGGTGTCGGAGGTTCAATATTGAAATTAGATATCTCTGGAAATGAAATGATGCGTGAGATAGAAGTGAATAGACGGAGGGTGACTTCCACTGAAGAATTTGTTTTATCTGTTCGGCAGAACTGCCACTGAACAATTAAACACACATGGTTATAATTTCCAAGGCTACATACGTACCTCGACATACTTCTAAAGCTTTTTCACCAGATACTTAAAAGAGTATCCGAAAATGAACAAGAAAATGCTCATAAAAATCCGAAGAAATTAAAAATAATGAAAATATTCAAGAACATATTTATAAGTATTATGGATAGTTATTTTTCGTTTCAGTTTCAAAACCGGTGCACCAATAGTAATTAAACTCTATTTACATTCTAAGTAAACCAACTTTTTCCATTACGTGATATGTTTAAACATGTATATTTAATTAAATGTGGTTTTAATCTTTGACATCCCAACTTCAATTAATATTGCTATAATGTTTTACATAGAAGGACTCTAAACCTATAGATTTAGTCTTTCTGTGTAAAACAAAATTTTAGGTACATATCGCATCTTATTAAGTTATTTAATTTCTCGAGAATAATTTTATTTTTACAAGTTGCATATCTCTCTTAAGACTTCATTCAGTCGCGATCAGTGACGCAGTGTGTTTATCGTGTTAACATAACGATAGTAAGAAAGTTGGGATAAAGACTGAAAAATCACAGGTGTGGCGATAACACAGATAACAACGCCAAAAGTGGCGAAGCTGAGGTAGAACTTGTTTGCAATAATGTAATCTTCATTCACAAATCTGCTGGTGGAAGCATTTTTTTATTACATTAGGTAGACTGCACTTTCTGAGCGAAAAAGTTGCATCAGTTTTCTGATTGTCGTCACAAATTTCACTCGTGTACCCGTTTACTACACCAGTAAATTTAACAAGCCCACTATGGTAACAATGCAACGTTTTTATTGTATGTTTAGCGACGGAGACGAAAATGTATGTACATTAACAGAGCGAAATCCAGCTCAATGTTTTTGGCAAGAATCGCTAGAAGTGGCACATTGTAAATATTTCTCCAACAATGACCTTTGATCGAGGAGGGTGTTCAATTCCTCTCAGAATTGTCCCAGAAGCGCATACCACTTGAGCCTACGGAACTTCTATAACAGTTTCATAATCGTACAAATTGATCAGCACTTAATTCATTAACATTTTTATCTCTGTATGTTTTCTTGAATTGTGACAAATGGCTTACAGCATTGCCCTTTTCATCTGGATTCACAATTGTATGTGAATCGGTAGTGTCTGAATGTGAGTCTATTTACTGATGGATTCCAAGGCAGCGATGAGGATTACGTTCATCGGATCAGGAGATAGAGATGATCTGAAATTGCATTCACCTCTTGATCGGTATCTTTGCACATGACTTCGGCAGTGTGAAAAGATACTGAGATATTCAGTACTTTGACTTTGACAAAGTGTTCGGATTTGTAGATAAGGAAGATAACAAATGGTCATTTATTTTTAATTTAACAGTAATACATCAAATGTGGTAATGTAAACATCTGAGTTCTAGGAATCATGTTCATATAACGAAACGAACATGATTTTTAATCCCATATAACGCTAATAAATGAATAAATAAATAAAAAAATGCCCGGTATTCTATCTCAGAGCACACAATTACTATTTAGTGGTGTACACTTTTCGCTTGAGCCTCAGAAAACAAGTTTATCAACATGAATGCTCATCATAATTCAACTTGTATATGGGTTAGGGTACACCAAGAACTAAAAAAAAGTGCACAGAGTGCATTTCTTCCTACAGTATCTCAGTAATCAACTGTTTTTTGGAGTCAAATAAATAAATAAAATTGCACATTGGGAACAAAACTAGCAAGGAAGTGTAATCTGATATGCTAATATTTAATCCTGATTTAATTTACGTACAAAGTTTTCCATCTTTCTTAGAGAATTGAGTACACAATTATCAGCAACAAAAAGCATGGTATTTAGTACAGCAAAATATACTACTTTTATACTGTAAACTGTTTTGATACACTACTTGTATTAACTGTAATAATATCAAATAAGACGTCACAATAATTAGGATTCCATTCATCATAGTTTTTGATTATATTTACCAGAGCATATACAGAAGTAATAAAATAAATTTTTGCGTAAAGAAATCAACAGCATGACAAAACGACAGCATGAAACAAAGATGTGGAAATCAGGGTGTACCTAAACACTCCAAACAAAATTCCTGTTCGAATGTTGCAGTCTCATTGAATTTCTGTTCCAGGGCGTACGCGTATACCGACTGCATCGCCCGCCAGTTTGTGACAAGGAGGCCCCCTCTCGCTGACCGCTCGGCTCCCGCGCGGCCGTCGAGCACTCCAGGGCAGAGATGCAGGCCACCTTGCGCCGGCTGTACGCGCTGCCTCCGCCGGGCGCCTTGGGGCCCCCGGGCGGCGGAGGCGGCGGTGGCGGCGGGGGTGGCGACAGCTCACACTCCGCCCGCCGCGGGCAACCGGCCGAACCGGGCTCGCCGCGTCGCAGGCCACGCCAGTCCCGCCTTTCCCGCGTCCCGCAGCAATCAGCACAGCAGCAAACATACCATCATCAGCAGCAGCAGCACCACATCAACAGAACAGCAGCAGCAAGCGTCGCGTGCTTGTAGCGGCATCGCCGCCGCGGCCGCCGCCGCGCCGCGGCCACCAGGCCTCCGCGTCCGCTCACGGCGCCCCGCCGAGCGCGCCGCCGCCCACGCAAGTCCTCGTTCCGCATCAAGCCCTGCTCGCCCCGAGGCGCCCGCCAGCCCCGGCGACAAGCGTGCCACCGCCCCGCCGCCGACGCCCCCGCCCCCGCGCAGTAACGCTCTGCGCTCAGCCTCCACAGCTTTGCCAAGTTGTTGTGCTGGTTTATTTAGTACTGAGATAGCTAGTTTTTATTCTATCTTTTTTTTTTGTATTCGCATAGCCGTGGCGATAAAAGAGCATGTACCGTGTTCGAATAAAAGAAAAAGAAAAAAATTCACGATGCATGAGAACTCCTCTGTGTACAAGGATATATCTCCGGTGTCATTCGGTGTCGTGTATGTATTGTGTCATGTGTTTGTGTTGGGCGCGCTGAGGGAATAGGTGGGTGTCATGTTGTGCCTGGGCTCAGGATCAAGTGTATTCTGCAATGTTGTCTGAGTCGAGGTATACAGTGTTCAGCTAGCAGTGCATCTTCAATAACATTTCTTCTGGAATGACGTTTCAAATTTTCGACTGTTGATTCCTGTGGTGCGTTTGTGTTTAGCCTATAATTGGTATTAATAGAAATTTCACTACTTGTATGTCACTGTGGCGAGGCTCTTGATTATAGCCTTTTCGGAGTTGTGCAGTAAGAATGCGACATATCCCTTTTTGATTTATCCTCCTTCACATGGATATGTATATTTTTTTTGGAATGTTGTGTACGAGCTAAAAATGTTCCAGTGATAGTAATTTTTATTATTTACATTCTTTAATTATACTTTAAATATATTTTTGTTTATCCATATTGCGGCGATGGTGGGACGGTTAGCGTACGGACTGTTATACCACAAGCGGTTCAAACCCGATCGAAGCCGTGGATTTTTTAGGGCGACAAAATCCTCGTACGCCTTCCTTCGCGAGGGCGAAAGTAAAGCCGGCTGTCCCATGTTCGTAGATTACTTGCATGTAAAAGATCCTCAAGCCTAAATGACGCCTCTGAGCTTAAATTCAAATCGCCTGTTTCTCGCCCCAAGAAAATTCAAATCGCCTGTTTCTCGCCTCCTTTCTCTGCTAGTTGATGAAAGGAGCGTAGCGAAATTTGCTTGGTCAGACGGAAGAGCGGGCCAGATGGCCCGAGTCTCGCCACGTAAAATAAGGCAAATTCATTTCAATTCAATTCAATTATTCAGTTATTTATCATATATTAAGAAATGCACAGAACAATTATCCGATTTACATATCTATTTATGTCTCTATTTACAATTATACTTACGTCAAACTCGAAAAAGAAGGTGTCGAGAGAAGATAAATCATGGTTGGAACATCGCATTTTTCATTTCCATTTCATAATTACACATCTTTAGAATCAAATACTTGAGGGTATGTAGGTAATGACAATGTTAGTGATAAAAAATGTATGAAAATATTCTCGTGAAGGTTAATTATTAAACTTAAGTAACCGGTTACAGAACGTAAAGAATTACTTCCAAACGTGTGGAAATAGTTATTAACATGAGATACTGCTTCTGGTATAACGTCTCAATAAGCAAATTCTTTCTTCCTATCTATATATCGAAAGAAAAATACAAGTCATATTTGTTAAATTATTTAGGATTATCATACATATGACAAAAATGATGCTAAACTTGGTTAATTTGAGTGAACCACATACTACTGGGTATGTGAATCATTAGTTACAAAACGTTTCCTAAATTGATATATCTAGTTTAGTCCACTAGATATTTCTAAAGAGAATTATATTAATTAAATGTGTTAATTGAGCATCATGGTAATAGTTTTGAAAATTTATTCAGCAGAAATCTATTTTTATAAGCATTAAAAATGTGTCTCATTTCTTTAATTGAATTTCCGATAAGACGACTGATTCGTCCACAATTCTGTGAGCAATATTAAAAAAATAGTGATTCTCAAGAAACTAAGTTGTGGTATTACAAATAGTTTTGTTGTAGAATCTACATGTTTGGCTTGAAGTTCTCTGGTTCAGTAACAGTCGTTGAAATTACTTTTGCGGTTGTTAAGTGTTTACAAGATTCGTGACTAAACCTAGTATCTACATTGATCAGAGAAACAGTTGTTTTCTCACCTTCGTTCGATGAGTTTTCTTGTAAAAATTATCTGAAGGTTTGATTATCAGTTAATTAATCCAGTGTCTTAACAAGATCATCAGAATGATACGAAAAATATTGATTCTTTAGAATGCTATTAGAATCAATTTTAACACTCAAGAGACCGGAATAGGATCAGAGGTCAAGTTCAAAGAATGGAGTGAAGAATTAAATTGTTTTTACTTCTGAAGACGTGCTGTGGGACGTACCAGTACTGAGAACGGAATGTGTCCGTAATAGAATTAAAATACAAAATTTGCTTTGCAATTGTTTTTATTTAGTATAGTACCAATATTAATGGGAACACATTTTTGAGGTAGTCATTTGTCAAAACACTTGATTAATATTCGTTAATAAATATTTCTTTTAGAAACAAATTAATAAGAAAAATATATATTTTTCAATATCGTCCTTATAAACCTCTAAGTCCAAATCTCTTTTTTGGTGAGAAATTGAAAAAGAGACTTGTGTTAATATCTTTAATAAACAGCTAATATACTATTTTACGTACGTCGTTAAGTTTTACTGCAAAAAACATGTGGCTTTTTGCAAGAAAAGAGATGAACGTTTAGTAAATGTCCCGGAATCATTATTAATAATATCTGAGTATCACTTTTTACAATGAAAGTCGTTCATTTCGCATTTAATATGCAAAGACATAGTGTTAGTTTTATTCTTAACAATTAGGTTATACCGCGGAAAACGCTTTTGTGCCGTGAGATCGAATGATGGGTTACGGCACTTTTAAAATCGGTTATATGAAAACAATTTGTAAATTATTTTCTCTGATCTTCCTGTTCTTATATTCTCAATCCACATTTAATAAGTACGGGTTCTATCAATTTTTTCATGAATCTGTCTATAGCTCTATCGTTTTTAGCGTTCGGTAAACTAAGTATTCCCTTTATCCCCAGTGATTTCCGGTGACACATTTATTGCGTATTAATTTTGTCTTAACCTCTCAGTTAGATTATGACTACTAATTCACCCTATCTGCGATGTCTCGCTTTTAAGTCACCTCGATTATCTTTATTCGAAAACTTAAAGTAAAATATTATTAATTGATGTTTTTTTTATACATTGACCCCTGTACTTAAATTATTTCTCAACCAATTTTTTATTACCCCAACTGAACTTTAAATACACGAATCGTCAACAATTCTTACATTAACTTATTATGGCTATAGAGTAAACACCTTGTAGGTTTCTTCTGTCGCTTTAGTCATCATGTCTACCGTTCGGACGATGAAATGTGTTTGACAGTGTGATGTTAACAAGAGCCATATGTCCTTCCCATCGCAAATTTACTAATGAAACGAAATATTTGGTTCAATTGCTCAATAGAGTGGCGGAGGAACGAGACACAATTTATATTTACAATTGGTTTTTATTTATTTCGCTTTTAATATAATAAATAAAATATCGTGTAACTCTTCAGTAAAGTCATAATAAATTAAGTTCCTATTTACATTTGATTAATATACGTTGTTAATAATTTTTAAGTTATAACCAGTTTAATAGGAAAAAGCAGAAACATGCCTCTCTAGTTTCTTATTTATTTTCAAGTAATGTTGATTTACTTGAAAAGGCCTATTATTTTCTCATAAGAATTCTCTATCCTTGCATGAGATTAAAACACCTGTATATTTATGATATTTTTAAGACATTCCCAACCACTTTTCAAGGTCCGTATATCCTTTTGAAAATGGAACGGACTATTTATTATAGTATGTTGCGTATTTAATTACAATTACAATATAATTGATGAAAGCGTATCTCTTGTTCATTTATTTGACAATTTAACAAATGTTTAAAGAGTTGAAAATGTCAGAAAACTTTCTCATTAATGCGAAAAGTAGCACGCGTTGGCGTACTCTCTGCAAACGAGTATTATTAATTGTGCCTTGTGACAGAATCAAACGTGTTCAGAGAAAATGTCAATTTAGTGAATAATAATAATAATAATAATAATAATAATAATAATAATAATAATAATAATAATAATCTGGCTCAACATCACTTACAGTTTGCCTCGGCTTATCTCCGACCCTATCTGTCGATCATTGGCGGATGGGTCACCACATTGAGGGTTGGTGATCAGCCCATCGCTCGGCCCCAAGGATGGGGAGTGCGTTTAGAATAGGGAAGGCAAGGGTGGATCCAGCCGATCATTTTGGGAGAGGCCATCATAGATTTTTGTTGAATAATAAACATAGTAGTTATTATATTGTATAGTATTTTTGTAGTCTATATATAATACTACACAAAATATTTTTTAAATAATTACATAATTACAACATAAATGAACACTTGAATCAATTTTGTCAAATAGAGAAATGTAACAAATGAAAAGTCTAGGCTTTTGGGGAGTCATGGCCCCCCATGGTCTCTCCTGAATCCGCCACTCAGGGAAGGAAGGATTGTGCGCTGTCCGTGGGCATATTAGAAGGTTCTGCTCCAGCATTCATCTGAAAGCGTTTAGGACAACCACGGCAACCAGTGCTCAGAGCAAAGAACTACTAATTTGAATCCGATAGACGTAACAAACTCACAGATACTAAAAACATCGCGCAAATTTGCGGCACCTGGCGGGGATCGTCCAAATTACCAGTACAATCAAACCGTAAGGGATCCTTTAACGCTCGCCCCTTTGAATGTTGTTAATAATAATAATAGTAATAAGGATAGTAATAATAACAGTAATAATAACAGCAGTAGTAATTAAAACAATAATAATGTTCATTCGAACAAAATGTACATGTTTAAAGATTGTAATGACAACTTGTTTTTTATGCACCCGCAAGGAGGTGAAATTTCTTCACGCAAGTTTGGAATCAAAAAATACGAGAACGGAGGAACACAATTACGCGATAGAGTTAATTATACTCTCAAGATAAGAGAAACAAAACTCGATAAATTTTGTTTATACGTATGGTATTTATATTTTCGGTCTGGAAACAACTTCACAAACAAGCTTGAACAATTAATATATTTTGTGAACAATGACCTCGCAGATCAAATTACAGATTCCCACGTTTCAAGATGTTTATATTTTTCATTCTGCTAACGTTTCGTTTGGAAGCTAGGATTCTTTAATTTGATGCTCAAGGTTATTACTCACAAAATATATTAATAATCGTTTAATCAACCAGGAAGACTATTCTAAGAAGTACCTAAATTGTTCAGTTAGAAGCATATGGCAGCGTTTACACAAAAGAACATAAGAAAATATCAAATCAATTGATTTTTCTTTTTCGTTTGGGATTTTTACGT